GGCTGTGAGTGTGTGAGTGAGTGACCATAAGCCGAACCTGGGAGCAGCGTCTGTAACAGTGGCATATATATTTTTATACAAAATTAAAGTTTGTATGCTATCTTAATGAATAATATGCATTTTTAAAGATTTCTCTAGTAATACATTATTTTTCTATTGACAACTGTAGTATAAAATAGCACTGCTAAATAACTAAATTTCAGCTCATTTGTTGCTTTGAGAATGCAAAGTTGGACCAGTTTGCATTCAACTGCAAGCTAAATGAAATTTCCCATATTTCTACTCTGCAAACTCCAAGGATGCCAGCCAGAACTTCCCCGGACCCTATTTTAGATGCTTCAGAAGTACAGAGTTTCTCTTCTATATCTGAGTCAATGCTGATTGTCAATTCATTAAAATCAGTGCTATCTACCTTAAAGATGTTTAGCCTTGCTTGTGGCTAAATGAACATTAATCTTGAGTTAATGTTCCTCAAGCTATGTTATGAGGAAACTACACAGTTTATTTAGAGTAGGACTTACGGCAGAGATGAGTGATACATGGCCTTCCAGAAGGTGCTGGACTTCATCTTCTATCAGCTGAATCCAAATGGTCAGTGATTGGTCTTGATGGCAATCACAGTCCTACCTTACAATCCGGTGGGCTCTGTTGTGCTTAGACTGTGCTTTACTAAAACCTAAGTATTATTTTGCTTAGACTTTGTTTTTCCCTGCTGAAAACTTGAATTTCTGTTGAGTACCTACTCCCCCAGGTGGACTAGAACCTAATTTTGCTTGAGTGAACAGAAATGTGCTTTACCAAAGCTGAGTTAGGTGATGGTGGGTGAGATCTGAGCTAAGGATTTCCTTATACATTACTTATCTATTGTATAGCATTACTTAGCCTACTTCTGTGCTTGTGTAGAATTGGTAGCATGGATACTGACTTCTCCACTATTAAGGTCATGTTGTGAACATGAACGTATCATATAGGACTCATAACTAGCATGAGAGTTCCAAGCAAGCAATCTTCTCTAAATTAACTACAAAAGTCCCTATTTTATATCTATATCTATATTAACAAAGCACACACACAAAAATATATTTTAAAAGGTTTCTCTTAAGAATCATGTATAAATGACATAAATTGTAGAAAACATTTGCAAAGAAAGCATTTACAACAACAAAAGCCTTTTGGTTATAATAGGTAATTTCTGATGGTTTCCTAGCTGGGTGAGAATTGGAATGACAACCAATTTTCCGTAATCACAAGTGGCTTCCTGGTGAACACTTTCTAAGTTATATGTTTATAGCTACTTAGGTCTGATAGAGGGAAAGGGCAGAAATGTGCAGTGCTTTCTATCATATAGCATCTAACCTGATGAAGCTGTTAGCTAGCCAAACCTGGCCTCCCTGGGTAAGGGAGCAATTCCAAAGACCACCAGAGGAGGGCCATAGATTGAAATCATTTTACATCTGCATAGATTATTGCCAACTGGATTGGATCAAGAGAGGCAGAGTTGGCTGG